GTGCATGGGAAATTAACGTCTCCTGCCCCTAACCCTGCAGGAGACGGGACCTCCATTTATTCGTCCCTATCCGAGAAGACTAGAGTATCTAACCATTTCTCGATGTTATAGAAAGGTAGCATATTCTTCTCAATTATTTTAAGACCTTGAGTGTTGGTCCAGCCGGGGCTCGAACCCTCGACCTCCCGCACTACAGTCCAGCGCTCTATCCATTGAGCTAACCGGGAGGCGGTGTGTGCCCAAAAATATTGTGTGCCCAAAAAAAGACCTTAAGTGTTGGTCCGGCTAGGGCTCGATCCCTTGACCTCCCGCACAACAGTCCAGCGCTCTATCCATTGAGCTAACTGGGAGGCGGTTAGCTCAATGAGACCATGAAGTAGCAATAAATAAGAAAATTTAATGTCAATTCTCATAAAATCAAATGATCCCATAAAATTCGGTTACCTATAAGCTGTGTACTCATGTACTAATTTTTCTCCAGCAACAGATTTACTACTCTCTCCTTTGGCTGATGCCAAAAGCTTCCTTTCTCGTTCATGTTCCTCTTGCTCACGCCGTAATCTTTCTTTCCTCATCTCTTCCAAACTTTTCATCCGTTTTTGCTTAGAATTTGTCTGTTTATCCTTATGTTTCCTGTCCTTTTGTTGGTGTTTTCTGTCCTTGTCTTTTCTATGCAATTTCTTTATGTCAAGGTATCTATCCAGGTCTCTGAGAGGATCTAGCAACTTCTTTTTCTTACTTTCTACAGAGCTACATAAAAACAAACAAAATTATTGATTTAAAAGGGCCTAATTGTGAAGAAAAACTCCCAGAAAAAAACCTGATGACTAACAGACAGCTAACAGGTGGCCAACAGTGGCTAATCTGTTTATAATTTTTTGGTGACCCGTTGGCTGAATTCTCCAACTCACACAAAGCCTTTTCCCACTCAAAAGTGCAAGAACATTTTGAATTGAAGCATTTTTCTGTGGGGTAATATTCAATTATACTTCAACATTTTTTTGAGACATCCTTAAGTTACCTAAAAGACAGGGTTTTGATTATACCTGCAAATCAACATACAAAACAGTTCCACAACTTGGAATCATCAAAAGTAAAGCTGATGCAGCAGATACGAGCCAAGTACCTTTCACATGCTTTATTCAAATTCAATCTTTCCTGGTGTGATTTAACATACCACAGTTGGCTACCTGTAGAATAAAAGAACAGAATTCATCAATATGTCAACAATGTTATTGAATGTCTCAGTAATAAGCTCCTTATCCAACAAGATTCAAGATGTGCAAAACAAGTCATCCATCATCTTTGTTCTCAGTTTAAGAGTTTTCAAACCAGTTTCATTTTTACTTTCTTCAGTCTCACAAACAAGGAAAAAAGGAAGGTAAATATCAAACTAGTGTGAAAAGTCAAAACAGAAAAAAAAAAATAGACAGTTGAAGACTGCATCTGGCTATTAGTATAGAAAAAATTTTTATGGCATCGAAAAGAGCTCAAGGTCCTGTAATGATGCTAGAAGGTAGTGTTACAGAATGTTTGTCTCACATGTAAAACAGAAAAGCTGTTGCATCCCACATACCTATGAGAAAACTGTTCCACAAGAGAAAGATGATAACTTCAAAAATATACTGTCTAATTGACATTCAACCAAAAATTAAGAGGTAACAAGCAATAATATCAATACCAATAATAATGCTAAGGGTAGTACAGTCGAACCTCGATTATCTGGACTTTTTCTCTAGTTTCTCCTGTTTTTTTTTTTTTCATAAATATTAATGAACTTTGATCTTCAAAACTTTAAGAGGGAAAAAATTCTGAGACTATGTTCAAAATCAGGAAAAGTGCATTTAAAACAGCACATTACCTCCTCCACTTTCAAAAGATCAAATGCTCAGGAAGTCATTAAAGCAGACTAAGAATTACAAAATGTGTTATCTTTATTTCTTTTGTTAACATTTTTGTCTCATTAATATTCATATTTTTTATTATTTGGACTCTAAATCTAAATCTAAAATTAATCTAAATATCATTATGTCAGCAAAATCGTTTAGGACATCATGCCAACTCTAAGATAATAATAAGTGAAGCTATACTAAATATACAACACTATTAAAAACTATTGAAAATTATTAAAAACTATTTAAAACTACCGATTTAATAAATTTAACTTAGTTTGCTTTTAAAAATACGGAGGGATTGGCTGGAAAATGTTTCTTTTGGAAGTTTGTTCCATTCAGCTATTGTCCTGGGAAAAAAAGAAAATCTAAAAATATCTTATGTCCTTTCAGTACAATAAATTTAAAATCATGGCTTCCTCGGGTTCTCCTTTCTTTGTTTGTTATCAAATAATCCCCCCAATCCCCATCTAGGAGGCCGTGGCACATCTTGTACATAGTGGAGAGCCTTGCATGTCTTCTCATTGTTTCAAGTGTGTCCCACTGTAGGTCTTGCAGCATTTCCGTCACGCTCATTGTTCAATCGTAATTTCCAGTGACAAAGCGGGCTGCTTTCCGCTGTACCCTTTCTAGAGCGGCTCTATCTCTCTGGTAATGTGGGTCCCATGCGCTACAGGCATACTGGAGTTTTGGCCTCACAAGTGTCATTTACCTGGTTTCTTTTCCTGACTTTAGACAATTCCACAGGTTTCGCTTGATAAGTCGCAGGACCTTATTTGCCCTACATGTGATTGTTTCAATGTGTGGTGACCACCTCATTTTGTTATCAAGCATTACCCCCAGATAAGGGTGAGACTCCACTTCTTCTAGGATTTGTCCACAGAATATGTATTCTCGCTTTAGTGGATCTCTCTTGGTTGTAAAACACATGATCTTACACTTTGAAGGATTAAATTCTTCCACGTTTGTTGCCAGTCTTCTAATCTCTACAAGTCCTCTTGGAGATCGACTCTTGATTATTCAGACTACTTACCCAGCAAGTTCCAACAAGTCCGGATAATTGAGGTTTGTCTGTAATATAATAATGATTTAAAGGGGCTAGCTCAGGCAAAAGCCTTGTGGTTCCCCAATCCTCTGGGCCCCAACAATGATTACCCATGCTTCTAATTTTCTTATTTCATTGCAATTCCATTTCTTGAGAGTTTTGTTTCACACAACAAGGAATTCCGCATTATTCCACCTCTCAAATTATCAAAAATTTAATGAGCTCTTGGCTTCAATTGATACAGAACAATCTGAAGGTAACACCACAAAATACACGGAGATAAAAAGTGAAACTCTGGAACAAGGGAGTCAGCAAGTAAAAACAGAAGAACCAAACAAAGGTTTGTAAAGATGTCAAGCACTGCAACTGACAAAATTATAACATCAGCAGAGACAAAAAATCACCACAGAGAAAACAAAACGAGCTGTCTGAGTTTTGAAGGTTTTCACCCTCAATTAGATTGTCATTAAAGTATTTATAGTTACTGTTACAGTAGAACTCAAACACAGCTAACCCTCACGTAGTAGATATGGTTTTGTGTTGAAGTGCTACTGAGACGAAAATTGATGTTCTTCAAAACAAATTTATGCAAGTTGGTATGCATCTCCTTGATCTATGCACTAAGCAAAACTTCTTTATAGTTTAATGCTGCCCTGGCCTATCATGACATTTCCTTTACATCCTTGTACTTTGGGTAGGTTACCCAAAGATGTGGATGGCCTTGATTTTCCACCTTTAATTTGTTTCTCTTCAATCTGCCAGTGGCATGATTGATAGCCCATATTTAGCACAACAATTGAGAATAAGTAATTTATTACCATATTGTTTCTACAACCAAGAATTAGAAAACAGAATAATATGGTAAACCATAACTACAAGTAAATAAAATTACATGTTCCAACTTTTCCTCTTTGAAATTATCAGTGTGGCCATGCTATGCATATCATGGAGGAACTAATTTGACCTGCCCCCAAAAATATAATTACTCCTGATAATTTTTTAGTTAGTGAAAATACCCTGTTTTTAACAAAATAGTACCTCGTGCTTTTCTTTTCTTATACAGTGAAATAAACTACCTGTACTGAGCTTTAGATTAAATTTCATAAACCTGCAGAGTACAGGTATGAGCTGGTCTACATCTTTGGGGCAGATTGATTAACCACAGAATGGTAGCCTGCCAGAAAGCTTGTCTTCTCAACTGCAGAGGCCTTTTCCATGGCTTTTGTCTGGCCTGGTCAAGTTAGGAATGTAGACAATTTTTCATACTCCTACAGCAATATAGAGCTATTGATATTCATGAACTGAAGCTAATATTGCTACATTAAAGCAATTTTTAAAAGGAAAGGTAAGACTTTATTCCAGCAGAACAAATTTGTTTGTGTACAAATCTTACATGGCAGATTAACAGTCTCAGAGAATAGATAAGTAGATAACAAAGAAAATCAAAATGAATTTAACTGACCGAAAGTTCAATCGTTATATGTTCTCGAGGTCTAGAAAACGCGAGGTGAGAACGAATGGAACAATCACGATCTAACAACACTCATCCTTTGACAACTTCTTGGAGACATGGCCGAAAAATGTTTTCCATATTCTAGGAATGGCACGCGGGACAATCCTTTTTCATGCCTAATCTACATGGATACTCTTTCGGGCGGAGGTTTCAGAGATGTAGGCATACTAATGCCTTCCATTAGCTTTCGTAACTATTTTGTTTGGCCTGTGTAGCAATATTTCAGCATTCGTATTAAAGAATAATTGCCCAATCCTGCATAACACAACTCTAAGGGGCCATTTTCAGCCTCAAAACACTGATTAGACTCTTCTAGAACTATTCAAGTACAACAATCTCTGTCCATTTCTTGGTTAAGAGCCTGTGCAAAAGTTGAGGGGATAATATGATGTCACAGACTTATGCATAGCCATTTTGCAGTTTGAGTAATGGCGGACGTTGAAAAGAGGAAAACAAATCTAAAAAAACAGACTTCAACTTTGAATTTTCATTCCAAATTTCATGAGAGTGGTAAGCAGTAAGGATTCTGAAAAGGGAAAAATCTGGCAAACGCTAAATTTGGTCTCAGTGGCACTTAAAGAAAAAAAAAGAACAAAAAACAGAACAAAACAGGATCGATGAAAAATATAACCACAATAGCATAACTGTTACAAATTTACACAAATCAAAGTTGGTGTCCGAATAACTAAGATCATGCCGTGCTCCATCCCAGCTAGCTCATCATGATTGCCTCCAGTCATGGCAATGAAGGAAGCATCAGAAATTAAATCATCCACCCTTCAAGTGAACAACTAAGAGCTTGCTATTGTATCCTTTTTCATCCATAAAACAAATGCCTTGAAGAGTTTGTTTTCTAATTGTCAAATTAAAAAATCTTCCATGTTTTTTTAAGCCAAACTTTGGCCACATTTCACTAAACATTTAATGATAATAATACAGCATTTGTAGTGCGCAAATTCCATGTCGATATGCTCAAATGCCCATAAGATTTCACTTTCAGATTTTTTTAATTTCATTTGTTCTACTTCAATCACTCAGTAGAGCATTGAGGATGATGACACAGTTACAGGTAAACTAAAAACTCCCAATAAAAATGGAAAAACCAGATGTGCTGAGTAACAAGACAACTAATTGATGGAGAGCTTTCAAAATTATGATTCTAGGCAATTGTAGATGTATTCATATCATGGCTGGTGCTTGCATAAATAAAAAGGAACCTTGTGTTAAACTTAATGTATAATAAATTTTGGTTTCATGGTGACACCTTTGTTTGAAATCTGGATGCCAGTGTGTAGCAGAGTACCAGTTGCTTTATTACCAAGGATTTTTTTCTTTTCTTGACAGAATGGTACTCTTCTTTCTTCTTTGGGCCTGTTTTTTTTCCTACCCAAGGACTTTTTTCTGCTTTCGAATTTTCATGAGCAAAGATTTTTCCACAAGTAAAGAGCTTCCATGTGTGAATTTTGTCAAGTGGTCAATGTAAACATAATATTCAAATAAAATGAAGGGGAAAGGTTACAAAGAAAATTCCCCTGGGGGGCTCACCCTCGTTTGAGATTATGACACCTTCCTGATTTCTTAACTTTTGTTTGAAAATATGTTTTTCTAAATAACCCAGACACTTTTGCAGATTTTTAATTTTTTTACAAAAACATTGGGTAAATTATTTGACTTCAATTTGGTCAAATAAAAGAAAAAATTATTTTTTTGGCATCTGAAGGTGGAACATTACCTTAAAACAGAACAGGGCAGAGTCAAAGCTTTTTGACTTGTTAAAACAGATCTGTTAAAAAGATTTCTGGGCTTGCATACCATCTGAATCTCTTTGACTCTGTCCTAGGTACGTTAACAAGCCAATGGATTTTTCTCTTTTCTCTAGCTCAGCTTTCTTTTCAGCTTCATGTTCTTTGTTACTTCCTTGTCTGAGCTGTAACAACAATACACATGAAGCAATCTCAAAATCAGTTCTCTTATGGTAATCCTTCCTACGAGAGAAATAGCTCTAAAAAGAGATACATGGATAAGAGTTACTGACTTTCACTACTCTACATGATGAATACCTCTATAGTATTGCAAACCCTTCTCCACTAAATATATCTCTGAATAATGATTAAAAAGTCACTGAACCATGCAATGCTATATACACAACTGTAGCAATATTATGAGCTGCTGTATCACTTACTCCTTCTTCAATCTCAGCAAAAAAATTAAGATGTTGCGGTTTTTCATTCACTAAAACAAAAGCATCATCTTGTGATACTCCATTGGCGCGTCCCCGTAGAAGGGCTGTTCTGGCCTCTTGTTCCTTAAACAAAAACAACAAACAATGTGAAGCTGTTATTTTTCATTTTTTATCAATAGCTTAGTTCATGAAAGCGTCACGCATCGTGACACCGTGTTAGGTTACAAGAAGAATTGTTGAAAATTTGAGTGCATTCGAATTCTCAATGGTTGCTTGTATAACTTAACACCACATCACACAACGTGTGACGCTTTCATGAATTAATCTATTGCTCTTTCTCCAGACGTGAGCTTGGGAAGCCTGTATTGAGACATTGGTTGGTGACTGACAAAATTTACCTTAACTTATTTCTTATTCATACTCTCGATAGAAAGAAAATTCCTTTAATTTTACAACATAGCTAGCCGTCTTGTATGGAAACAGTATAAACAACAGCACTCACGGCTAAAGCACACTTCCTTTTCCGTTCTTCTTCTTCTAATCTTGCCTTTTCTTCATCACGACGCACGCGTTCAATGTTATCGATGTTACGGACATGCCAGCTAAAACAATTAAGGCAGAAACTTCTTCACCAATGGTAGATTTTAGCGTTTTGACCGCCATAAGAGCAAATTAAAATACGTAAAGTAACAGATTCTCAGAGACTATCGTTACTACAGAATAAGCTCTAAATCAGCTGTCTTGGAATTCAGAAAGAACAAACTTAATTCGACGTAACAGTGAACCTTTGCAGCTGGCGAACATCTCACGAACTAAATCTGATCAATAACGCCATTTGAATTACTTGCACTTTAAGAGGCAAAATTAAGAAATGTTGAATCTTAAGCCAATGAAATATAAGGGTTTATTTTAAATGAGACTGAGTGCAAGATGAAACTGAACTCGATAGATTTTCACACCTGAACTTTGGTAATGGTGTCTTCCATAAAAATGGAAAAACTTCAAACTAAAAAAAATACTAGCTTTGGGGAATGCTTTATCGTTAGGGCTCAAAAAGTCCTCTCTTACCTTCTAAATTACCTTTTCTTAGGTAAAATGTTCATCTTGTCCCTTCAAAGACCACAAAAAACAAATTTCAGGTCTTTCAGCTTAGTAGTCGCAACTGCTTACCTCTTAGCGGATCTTAGCGGGTCTCAGTCGATTGAAGTGAGAAGACAATAAGCGCGCGCATACCTAGAAGTTCATGTTTTTGAGTAAACGGAGTAAACGTAATTTTGTATCGCGGGCGCTAGCGAGTAATACAGATCGATACAGATGAGAGATCCCCAGATTCTCCAGTAAGGATGGGCCGATACGGCTTTTTCGAATCAATACGATACCGAGTACGATATTTGCTTTTCTTCTTCGATATCGATATCGATACCGATACCGATATCGATACCGATACCGATACGCATTGAAAAATATCTAGTAAGGCACGTGATATGAGTGAGTAAACGAGACACTCAGTAGCATCAACAAGACAGTCAAACATGTCAAAAAATCTAATTTATTGGGACTCATTTTAATTTTCCCGAGGAAGTGAAGAAGACCGCAATGGCACAGTCTTTGTTCTTACAATCTGCAACTTTCACTTGCATTCATGATCATAAGGCTATACTAAAAGGTTATCAGTCACTGCACGGGTGTCTCGAAACTTCAGACCTCAGACCTCGAAACTTCAGACCCGTTGACCCCTTGAAAAAAGATTGAATTGTAAACGCAGTTCTACATGAATGAATATTTAGTTACGATAACTATAGTGACTAACCCCAAGTGTCAAGTCACGCAACAATCCCGCGTTGATAATTGGAGACAGCTAGGTAAAAGGATTCCTATATTTTTATTCAAAACAAAAACGAGAACGACAAGAACAATGGCAAAATTATTTCACTTTCTCGGGAGTAATCTCTGAAAAAAGGAAAACATGAACTCCCCGGACAGTGCAACGATCGATGTCCTACATGTTAAGTACCAGAATAATACGTTTCCTGTACACTTATCTTCTTTAATCTTCTTTAATGGTTATACTCCTAAATCAGAGAGAACTATACTATGAGCCCCTCGGAAATATCGGATAATTTAGGTCCGATATTTCAAGTCGCGAGAAACCATTCGCCCGACTTATCATGGATCCAATACTCGATATATCAGAGACTTCCAGGCATACAGGACCATACGGAGTGTCATGCTTTAGAACTATTTAACCTTTCTCAGTGCTTTTAATTTCTCGCTTGAGGTTTTTCTTTAGTAAGCAGGCATAGTTTGCGACTCATTTTTGTTACTCCAGATATGCTCTAGTGAGTGACTACATTAACAGACAAAACTAAAAGCATATTTCTACTGCCGTAAAATGTACGCATGCTAAGCCCTCAGAATCGGGTCCTTTTTATCCTGTACATTTTCCGCATAATGTTCCATGGAATTTGTGAAAAACCTTCAAAGCTTTCTTCAGTCGTATAATAAATCTATTATTAACCAAGCTTGCTCGAGACCGTACTGGAAGAATATCGGCCCTCGGTCTTTTTTGTACGGACCAGGCACGGCSKGGTCCGTACTGTCAAGACCTCAGGCCGATATGCTCCCAGTACGGCCCTCGCGCTTGGTTAATTAACAATTATTCCACGAGCGCGCGTTGGATATGCGATGATGGATAGCCAACGAGGCTCGCAGCGCCGAGTTGGCTATAATCATCTCATATCCAACAAGCGCGAGTGGAATAATTGTTTTCTTAAAAACGCCCCCAAGATATTAGACAAATCTTACCAAATCTTAAATTTTTTAGCCCCCGTTTAATTTTTACCCGACGCGCACCATATTTATAGATTATGGTATACTGGCTCATATACCATAATGGCTAAGCCAATAAAAAGTCTTGAATTGCATTATCCAATGATCCAGTTTTTTATAAGAAGATATAAGTAAAATCGGCGTCGCGTACCAGTTCTTAAAATGGATTTCGTCTCATGAGCGCGTGACTCAGACAAACATTGCGATCCGCCATAAGCGAATGTATGCCGGTTGGCGACAGTATGTGAACAAAAATTGTTAAAAATCGGGCAACTCGCGGTCTGTAATTCCTCGAAGGAAAAGACAATGGTTGGTAGCAAGCATTTCTGTTGGGGTAATTGCAAAACGGACTCAAGGTACCCGGAGAAATGGCCAAAATCGCTCAAGGAGTTGGAGTCCGGAAAGAAAGCTTTCGTCCCATTTCCTTAGCCGACGCAAGACATCGAGAAGTGCAGAAGATGGTTAGTGGCTTGTTCGAGGGAATTCTTTACCGAAAAGAATATCTCAAGAAATACGTACAGTCGCGCACGTGCTCGATTAGACAATTGTTTTATTTACAAATATAACTTTCTACCAAACCTAATTGATAGATAAAAATTACCTTCTTCATTATAAAAATAGGCTCTTTTTTACATTATTATCCTTTAGCTCATAGATTGCTTTATGGAATATCCAGTTCTCTAACCCCTTAAGGTTCTCCCCACAACAGCAATGTACATAATTTAGACTCGTATAAGGTCGCAAAATCACTACTGTAGCAGTGATCTTTCCTTGATCTTTCCTTGATCTTTCCTTGATCTTTCCATGATCTTCGAGAGAGACTGAGATGAACAAAAATTGTATTCAACAAAACAAGCAATGTTGCATAATGTATTTACTGCATAATGAAATAAGAGACAACTTTTTTTAAAGATACTGTGAAGTAACAGCAGTTAATATTTACATGATTTCTTGTCTTAGCAACCTTACAGTTTCATACCTACATTGTGTTACGCCCGCCCCCTCTAAACAATGCATCGGGTTTCAAAAACTAGTGTTGTGACCAAACTGAAAACAAACAATGAGGTCTTGATTATTGTAGACTAGGGACTGGCAAGCAATAACACCGTGCGAAAGCTCCGTTTTCATCGATGGCCAAACGTGAGCTCTTATTAAATAATAGTAGGCAGTCAACGTGTCCATTACGTCGTGGAAAAATCCCTAATTTACGTACTTTCGTCCATTTTTTAATGGTTTTTCCGTCATAGGTCCAAGTCCTTCGTCGTTTTCTTCCGTAACATTGACATTCTGGATGGATTTCAAGGCATAGTAATGTATGCGTCCATAGTTAAAAGTTCGGGTATGTTGCGAAAAGAAAACACACGCCAGCCCATTGACGGAATCTCTGGAAACGAAACCAAATTGCAACTTTTCTGAAGTTCACAACTTTCTTTATGGCCTTCGCCGCAAACCATTTCCCCTCATCTATACTTGGATCGAGTGTGTGATGATTTCCAGTCTTTATGCATTCGGTCACACGTTTTACAAATTCATCACGTTTTTCGCTTAATCTCAAACATCTGCACTTTAACCATCGTTTCAACTAATCTACAGTGTAGTCCTTTGGTTTTCGTTCAAATTTCGAGCGAGGAACGCCGTCCTCTTGGGTTAAAACGGTCAAAGAACGAAGCGTAGAGCTCGCAAACGACATCGATTCCACTAAATGCTCTTATAGAAATGGCACTTGGAGTAGTTTGTTTGTTTGAGTCAAGTGGGGGCTCTCAAATTTTGTGACGTCATCTGTGCCCGACGCCAT